TTTTTGCTATTTGTACCCTCTTCTATATAAAATAACCAATTATTATTGGTCAAATATTTTTTTTTTACATGGGTAGGTGGTATAAATAGCAAAAATGGGAGGTATAAATAGCAATTTCCTATATATATCTTAGTTTTTAAATATTTTTGTAGAAATAGTTTTAGCCTAAGTTTATCGCTATGTCTAAGTAGCTTCTAAGTTTTTTCAAACTTCTTATTACTTCAAAAATTATTTTTGTGACCTCTTCTTTAATCAATTCTTTGAGTATACCAACTTTCATTTTATTTTTTCTACTTTCGATAAGCCTCACAAGGTCTTCTAAGTTGTGTTTTATCAAGATAACTACATGTTTCTTCTGACAAAGTTGTTCAAGTCAAATTCAAGGCCAACTATTTTGTCTCTTTTCATTTTACTTCATACTTCTCACATGTAGTCAGATGTTTTTGGTCTTCTTCTTTATCCTTTTACATATTATATATATTTAACTATCATATAATTTTTAATCTTTTAACTAATAATATTTTTAATATTAGCAGTTTTTTATACAAATACTTGACTAAAACACCTAAACACTTGTTCTTTCTTGAGCTTGTATATGGGGTCTTTCACATTAAAAGGGCCCATTTTGCAAATTTTTGAAAAATGAGTTTTTATTAGATTCATGTAAATTTTAACATGACTGCCATTTTTCAATTATAAATGAAAAGTGATTTGCATAATAAAAAATAGAGATAATTTAAAAGACAAATTGTACGAAGCTGTCTAAGGTCAAACACAGCATGAGATTATCCGATAGTTACCTGTTACGTTTGACCAATCAAAATCGTGAAATTTGCTTAATCCTGGATCAGTCTGAAAATCAAAACAAATGATTAAACTCAATTATCTCAAAATTGGTTATATTGCAAAATGGGCCCTTTTAATATGAAAGACCCCATATTATATACCACTTTGATTTCTGATTTTTTTCTATAAGATGGGCTAATATCAGATTTGTATATTATTTTTGGATTTTATTTTTCTTATTGCTAAAAAGAATTTCTACTTAATACTTATTTTGAGATCAATGATCATTTTCAGAAACTCTCTTGTGGGATCTTTTACTATTGTTTCTTCTCAGTATAAAGTGATATTTAACTCCTGAGGAAGTTTTTCTATAATTTTATCTATATTCTCTATTCTAGATTCTAATTTTGCTAATTTGTCTGCTCTATCATTTTGTCTACTGTATTATTACTATAACCTTTTACTTTTTTTAATTCTAGCTGTATTTCTTTCATTTCTACTATATCTAAAATATATTTTACCAAATCATAATTCACTTTTTTAAGCTATTGTCTTGCTCATCTATTTTGTTTCTTTCCTTCTACCTTTAATATTGCTACTGTGTTGTCTATATAAATTTTGACGTTTCCTTTGCTTAGTATGATAAGCAATATATACTAGATTCCAAACAATTCTGCTTTTGTTAAGGATAGCCAATTTTTTGCTTCAAAATAACTTTCACCAATTACTTTTCTCTCTTCTTCATCTACTAATATCCAGCTTATTCCTATTTTGTTCGATTCTAAATATGCTTGTCTTTACTTATTTTTTAAAGATTTATTAGTATAAAAGTTAAATTGTGTTATGGAGCATTCTTGTAATTTTCTGTTCTTCTTTATTAGAAAGTTCTGCATTTCTTGGCTAATCTGTTGTTTCTTGATTATTTCTGTAACTAAGTTATAGATTCTAATTTCTTATATCACCTTTTTACCTGCCCCCGAATATATTTTAAAGATTTTCAGTTTTTTTGCGCCACAGCTGATCACGTGCCGGAGACGTGGTCAAAAATTTTTGACGGTTTCTGGCTTTCTCAATAATAACCAACCACCAACCAGAAACTTTCTTTGATTTATACATTCTTTCACTGTAATATAGCACGTTTACATTTTTAAATATAGCTGGTACTATACAATGTCTACGATATCAGGAAAAACAAAATCACTTTCTGAAATGTCAACCACTTCCGTTCTCGACACTCCAAGAAATTCAGAACCGTCAAATGAGTCTACAACTACTTCTCATCCTTCTACACCCCTTCCCACTAACCACCAAAGATATAAAGATCTTTTAATTTTTGAAGAAAGACTGAAACAAAATTTGCATCAATTACAAAGACGTAGTTATAAATACGAAGGTAGACATTTTTTTTATTTTTTGTTAGATATATTGATCTTGATAAATTTTTTTTTTTTTTTTTTTTTTTTTTTTTTTTTTTTTTTATAGCTTTCTTAGGATCGATTTGTTTGTCACTTCCTGTTTTATTATATGCCGTTTTTGTATATAAAAATGATGTAAGTTCACAAGTTCATTTTTTCAAGTTATTTTAAATTCAGATCTTTTATGCCTATTGTTCATTTAAAGATAATGTTCTATGTTTCACTTTAGAGTCCTACATTTCAATTTTTCAGTAAACTGTTACTTTTCGTTGCCATCATCACTTTGGCCTTGTTTTTCATGAAAAATATCTACTCGGAGAAAGTTAGAGTAGCTTCAAGGTAAGCTATATTTTCTTAACAAACAAATCTATTTCTTTCGCATAGACTCTATTACCGATATCATTTTACTATGAAACGTAGGTTTGTGCCACAATGTAACCGCGTTTTACGCCAGTATAACATGCATTTCAATGTCAATGGTGGTGAAATAGTTTTTTACAAAAAAGTTCCAAAAAAATTTCAAGAAGGTTTTGAGAGATATCGTCAGATGTATTATACAAAGAAGAATCAGAGGGCAAAAGAAAGAGAAGAAAAAGAAAAAATGGGAAAATGATGCGAAAGACTTATGAAGGAGGTGTATCCGCTAGCGTTTTGTTTTTTTTTCTTTGAAAAAAAAAAAAAAAAAAAAATTAATAATAATAATAATAAATGAATAATGGATGAAATGAATTGTGACGGCGAACTAAAAAAAATTATCAATGGTCAAATCATTTAATGTTACGTCCTCCATTTGTATTCCGAAAGTTCTATTAGAAGTTCATATTATGTGGAATTGAACAAAAAAAAATTGGGTCATAATATATATATATATGCATTTGGGATAAACAATATGAATGCTATTCTCGATTATTCATCGAAGGCAGCGTCCAAATCTTGGGATCGCCTAATTTGTTCATTGCGTTTTTGGTCCCGTTGATCTAATGTATATAAAGAGTAAATTAAATTACTAAATATACAAGTAAAAGTGAAACTAATTATAAAGATTTGTACCTCTAGCTGTTCTAAGGATCTGGTTTTCTACTTGACGTTGATCAGGAGATCTAGCAACGCGAACACCAAGAGCACCATGAAAGAGACGCTTGGCGACCATATCGGTAGTTGCAGGACGAATACGTTGCGTAGAATTATTAGGATCTATAAAATATTGCGTAAGCAATATGATAAAATTAAACTGCAAAAATATCTGTTATCTAACTTACTTTTTTGAAGGAAATCCGTAGGGCCGTCATACGGTTTAATGGTGGCAAGTTGATTATTGACATTATCCACATATGCTTTACGTGCTAATAATTAAAGATAACAATTTTATATATTAAATTAATACTTAATATCTAAATTAGTATGTTAAGAAGGTGAACAAACAATTACCGGTCGCAGGGTGTTCAAAGATAATTAAAGCACGAGTATCCTCCATCCATTTGATACGGTAGCCACCACGCATATTTTCGTATTCTTGAAAAATTTCATGAAGATGGTGCGTCTTGAAGGATGCAGGAAAATCAAAGATATCAAGAATACGAGTTGATCCTTCGTACGCATCTATGTAGATGTTATAAGTCAATGCTAAAGGATTACTAATTGACTGAAGAATTTGAAATCATCAAGATGTACCTGGATCAAAATTAAAATCAATTTTGCTGCTTCTGCTCTTTTTATGACCCTTTTTAAAGCCTGGTGGACGATTATCGGTCTTTTGACCTTCCTTCTGTCTAGTACTCCAATCAAACGGATTTGAAGCGCCATCTACGGGACTGGCGACAGGACTAGAGACGTCATCCTTAGTTTTCACCTCTCCATTCGCAGCATTCTTTTCCCATTCTTCAACGGTTTGTTGTCCTTCTTGAGGGGCTGCCGATGTGTCATTAATTTGAATGGCGGGATTGCCATCATTTTCGTTGTCACCAATATTAACATTTTCAAGCGAATTAGTAATTTTGGTGACGTCGTCGGAAGCATTGTTTTCACTACCGGATCCACCACTTTCAGAACCTTGTTGCCCGTTGCTATTTCGTCTGCTATCAGATTTTGACTTTTTTTTAGCATGACCTTTTGAAGGTTTTTCCCCTCCTTTGGGCGGATATTGTCGTAAAACTGTTGCATCAAAATCGCGACCTCTTGGAGTACGAGAGCTTTGTTGGTCTTGTTGAGTATCACTACTACCAGGACCACGAAATTTGCCTCGACCTTTTCTAATGATTCCATTGTCTTGATTCTCAGAAGTGTCATTAATGTTATTATTAGCAGACTCTCCAACCGGAGATAACTCTTCACCAGTTGAGCCACGTCTTTGTTTAGGAACATAAATTTCGCTTCCGGGTTTTCTACCAAATATAAATATATTAATCATCTCAAGTTTTTAAGTTATAGCATCTTTTAGTAATTTACAAAGGTATAATAGTTATAAATACTTACCTAGCCTTGTCGGCCCTCGCTGGACTTGTCTCTGGAGAAGCAGTCGTAGAGCCCATTGTGAATCGAATGAGTAGAAATTAAAGAAAGTCTACCTGTTGGATGGATGGTGGAGGGATTTTGAATCTATTTTTCTGGTGAACTTTTGGTAGGTTTCGACCAAGAAAGCCGTTAAGAAAACTTTGAACAGAAAAATGGTGTACAAATACTGTGTCTTCCTGGTCACTCACATGTCGCATAGTGGTGACGTTTCCCATTCTTTTGCGTATCCATTGTTTGCAATTCAATTGTCAAAGCATTACAAAACCCTACCTAATTGGTTTATTGATTTGCAATTCAGTCTTATCACCATTTTTTAGTTCTCTTGTCACCTCATTCAGGGTCTTAGTTTTACGCCAAATATTCTTGAGATGCACGATTTAGTATCACCTGCTGCAGAAGTGTTTAATGTTTATTTTGGTCATCTAATGCGAATCAAACTCAATTTTGTCAACAGACGTTTTACTGTGAAACAATAAAACAATGACTGCGGAATTAAATGACCTTATGCTAAATTCGGCGAAAAATAGCGACCGTCTTTATATAGACAAACATGCAGATTTTGAGAAGCTTTTGAAATCATTAATGAACTTCACCATCAAACGAATTGCTTGATATAATGAATATCTGATTGATGCATAATAGTATCGACTCCTAACATGGTTTTTTTTTCTTTAAAATAATCAGTGTATGATTATAGCAATATCATTTTATCACTTTTCGTTATAATTTTATCACTTCTCATATATAATTTATGATTTTTATAAGCAAAGCTGCTCATGTACACGAAGATGTGCACGTGACTTGGCGTCACATACCGTAATATTTTAGTAAATCACGAATCTTATACAAAAATTCAAATGCTACATTGGCTAATGAGATAATAATAAGTCGCGCATAATTGACGTACCTTAAGATTTTTTAAATTAACATAATGAAATATTGCGTCACCTTATTTTTCTTTGCATCAATACGAGCTTGAATGTTTGCAGTCCTTTTTGTTGCCGTTCAGCTTGAGTCTTGGCAACCGCTTTAATTCGTTCTTTCCTGAATAAAGTATTAATATAGATGAACGTCGAGTCCTTTGCAAAAAAAAATTAAAATTTAAGCAATTAAAAATCGCACCATGCCTTTTCACTACTTTTCTTTTTAAAGTTGATCTTTTTAATAGTTTTCTTTAATAATTTGGGGTCATTTTCACGAAACTTTGCAGCCTAATCGACTAATAAATATTATTTAAATTTCAAAAACATTGTCATTTATAAACTATTTATCTTTCTGGATCTTCTTTTTTCAATTTCTTGAACTTTTCTGCTTTACTTTTTAACTAACCTAGAATTTAGATTTAATCATCATTTATAAACCAAGTTAATGAGTGAATAGGATCAATACATTACTTTATTCATCAATTACACATTATCTAGCTTTTTCTTTTTTTTTATTATCATATTTGATATACTGAATGCTATTACCATCTCCTGGTAAACCTTGCGCGTAGAATCATCCTTAACACCTAAAGGATTACTCTGA